GGGTGGAGGGGGGGGGCGGGTTTCTGTCTCTGTATTTCTATGGTCCTTGTTTGTCCCCGGCATTGAAGAGGAGGCAAAAGTCCTCAGAAATGATAGCGATTTTCTGCTGGACTTCATTAGAAAAGCTACTGTGAAGAGGGACGTGGATACAGAGCTCCGGTTGCTTTCCCAAGCCTACCTCAAAACACACACGGCAGGCAACGCGTTCCCACTGACTCAACAAAAATGGGCATGCTCTTTGATCCCCAGGCAAAAGACCCACCTTGGGGTCCAATAAATTTACAGCACTGTGAATACAGTGCAAGAGTCTTAAATCATCTTTATTTCTACCCTGTGCTGAAGCTTGTCTCCTTCCCTCGCTGCTATTGTTGCCAGGAATTCACATTAGCAGATTCAAATAAACTTTTTGCCCAGTCTAATGTTATATTGTGGGAGAGCTTCTGTAACAAATGGTGCTACAAACGGCTGCTCTTGTTTCCTCACCAGCATTTCCAGCAGTCTTCATTGGCATTGCTGGCAAACAGCATTTAAACAGTTAATCTGATGTTACCATGAAGGAAAGGACGATGGTCTAAAATACAACTGAAGGACTGACTGCTTAAGCACATGTAAGTAATGAATTTTAAATGGCTGGTGGATTAAGTACCTTTGCATTCAACATACAGTTTCCCTTAGTACTTAAACTTGGTCAAAAGTGCTTGACTATGGGGACAGAGGTAGTACGGTACCTCAGTTGAATACGGAGGCTAACAAGACATGCCTAAATTTTGTCTAAATTCTCAGTGAAACCTGATTTGTTAAGTGGATGATGATCAGAGATGAAGGCATACCAAAGCTGAGCTTGGCACGAAGAATGGAATCAAAGCCAGTTTCATGCCAAAACAGAACTGGGGATGATGGCGGTAACAGAAACTCTCCTACTTCTCTCTCTCTCTCTCTCTCTCTCTCTCTCATAATGACCGTGCAGCACAGCTCAGCACATATACCTCCAGAGGAAGAGAGCTGGAGTTAAAATTTTGTTTTCAGAGGAATTGAGTCAAACCTCTTTCTCCTACTCCAACAAATACTTTAGCCAGAAACTACAGAATGGCTTCAGTGGAACTACACTCCTTTTTTCCTGGAAAAGTATTTTTGAGAGGAATATAGTCCACAATCACAGGTTAAAAAGAGAGCCAGAAGAGACAGAGCATGATTCTATATCCTAATGGTTAGGTTGTCAGTCCTTTCTGTAAGAGAGGAAACCTGGGTCTACCCTTCTTTTTTTAATGCATTACCACTGTGAGACACAATCCACCACCCTAGCACAGAATTCTGACAATGATGCTTGCAAGAGGATTTTAGTTTTGCAGTGCAAAAAGGTAGTGCCAAAAAAAAAAAAAATCTGTCTATTGAGATCAGTGTAAGCTAGAAAATACTGCCACTAGAGACTCTTGTCTTAGATTACTGGAAAAAATGCTAGAATTATAGTGTATATAGTGAAAACATTAGTGAAAAACCTCAGTATTTGCATAAAAGAACGAGTCAACTATACTCATATTTAAAAGCAAAAGAAGAAAACAAGAAATTTCAAAAGCTTTACCTGCAGCAATATCTTCCCTGGTACTCTGTCCTGAATCAATTGACCCAAAGGGAGCTTCTGCTGGCAGCAGTCGTCTTTCATTGTCGTACCCTTCCTTGGCATCTCTGTTATCCAAGAAGATGGCCTCTTCGTGCTCAGGTGGAATGTTAACAGCTTGCTCCTCCTTTTCAATAGGCAGAACTGGCCTCTTATCTTCAGGTTGCTGAAATATCTGATTGCTCTCAATGGCATTTGGGTTCCTGAAGGGAACTCTATCATGTTCAGTTTCTTTTGCAGCATCTGTGGCAGACAGAAAAACATGAATTTAGCACTGAACTGATATTTATTTCTTACTAGCAGCTGTCTCCAGCAAAATACTGCATTTGACAAAGCCTTGCTGATGCTTTTTGACACCAGCTTGTATGTTGCTTCCAATATATTCTTAATCAACTTTCAGTGACATCTAATTAAATGCTTATAAGGAATTTATGCAAGGTATCGACCACTGACCAGATAGTGAGATTTTTTTTTTTTCATTGTGTGACATAACTTTATCAGAAATTACATGCTGAACATTTATTACTGTGAGAGGAGCCTTGCTAAGGGCATATCTTACTGCCTTACTAATTGGATAAAATAGCAAGCTTATAGCAGACTCCAGTGCTTGTTCCTTCCCTTGTCAAAAGATAGGCTTGTTCAGCATTTCTTCTATTTATGCACCCTCTTTTATGAATGTGGACAAAAATATGCTGATAGAGACATCTGAAATTGTAGGTGTATATTTTTAGTGCCTGAATTTATTGGTCACCGCACATCTCAGAATTAGGTGTTAGTTTGGGGCGGAGGGGAATCTCTAGACCCTATGGAGAATTCAACACATGCTACAGACGTGAATCCTTATTTCGTGGGGGGAAGGGGGAGACCTGAATGTCTCCTTCTAGCCATATCTATCCACTGATCCCACTTTCTTACACAGAGCCTGGCCCATAAGAACAGACACGCAGAGCTCAACGTTTTCTTTCTCAGGATTTCCCAGGGCCACCTATTACCATGGCAAAAAATTGCATCAGAAGTAGTCAAAATCTCACTGATTCCACAGGACCTCTTCAATTCTGCTTCCTCAACCCCCTCTTAAAGCTTTTCTGGGTTACATAGCTTGGTCTGGGATAGGGTTTTACTTCCATTTCATCTATTCATTAACTAGTTTGGGTTTAATGTTTTATTGGGGTTTTTTTCTGCAAACGTGGAACACGATCCTCACAAACTGTCCAGAACAGTCCTCATGCATGCATTTTAACATCCTACCTTTATCATGGAGTGGGTAATCTTCTTCCTGTTCTGGAACAGCTGCAAGTGGGACACTCTCACTAGCAGATGAGTATTTGCTCCTTAAAGAGTATATTAATTCTTGAATATCATCCATCAGCGCACTCTCTTCATCATACAAATCCATCTCTTTCACCACCTCCTCTTTATTTTCTGCCACCCTGGAATCTAGAACTTTTCCTACAACATCCATAATACTAGATTCTGAAAATTCAAGTATCTGGTCCAAAGCTTTTTCTATATCTTCATTATTATGACTTGCCTTCCGAGCAAGCTCCAACTCTATCTTCATGTCCTGAAACATGGCTTCTAGCCTAACCACATGTTCGAGCCCAAGGTACTTTTGTAAACGTGCTACGCGCTTTTCATCAAGGAAATCCCTCATTATTGCGAGCCGTTTCACAGACTCACTATATTCTGATGTGACGGTGTCTTTTGTTGTTGCTGAGACATCAGCGGGGCTGGGAAGATGTGCAGAGTGCTGGTGATCATTTCTTGCGTACTCTAAATTTTGCATCTCTTTTAAGTCTTTTTGCAAACCCCCCCCCGGGAGAGGATCTTTCCTTTGGTTAAAGTCATCACTGTCTTCTGTTTCAGGAGATTTGAAATTATGTTCTTCCACAGCTGATGGTTCTTCAGCTTCAGAAGACTCCTCATCATCTTCCTTGACATGTTCCATTCCATCCAGTTCAGAGTCTTCACTGACTTGTACATCATCCTCTTTGTTCGCAGTCTCAATTGCATCTTGCACGCTGATCATTTTCTTTGCTTCCTCAGGAAACGCATTTGTTTCTTCTCCCATTTCATCAGTTTTGTAACTAGGATTAGCAGTTCCTGAAACAGCTTCACTTAGAATTTCTAATTCAGGGTTTGTACTTTTCATATTTAGTTTATTACGCTGTACATTTGCAAGTCTTGCTTGTGACAACTTTGCACTAGCAGCATTCTCGTCTTCCAATAGCTCTTCCTCTGCTTGTTTCAGATCAGAGTCTTCTTCAGCATCCAACTCTTCAGATGGGAATTCTTGTCTTTGTGTTTTTTCTCTAGCTAAATGTGTGCCAAGATCACTGTCTGAATCTCCATCCTCAGTATGATTAGTTCCCTGCTGAGTAAAATTCTCTGTATTAGTATTCTGTGTGGTGCCTTTTGGTTCTTCTTCAGGAGAACTTTTCTGAATGCTTTCTACAAATACTGTAGCCTCGCCAAGATTTCTTGAAAGCTCTTCTTTCACATTTGCCTCTGAATACTGTGTCTCGTTTTCCCATGGCCTAGGTTGCTCGACAGCTCCTCTGCTCACGTGCTGATGGTTTGGGTCTCTCTCTCCTGTAGGGCTTTCTTTCACGTTTACCCCTTTTATTTCAGGTTCTTCTTTAAAAGGGATATTTTTTAGATTTTCCTGATCAGCCTCCCCTATTTGTTTTAAATCTTCATGTTTCAGAACTTCTTTCTCCACAGCAGGCATTCCACGCTCCATTTTGTCTTTTAAGGGGTCAGCATCTCCCAAGTCATACCGAGATGCATTTTGTACCTCTTCCACTGGTTTGGCTGGAACATCAACAGAAGGCTTATCCTCTGCTCTTCCTTTCTCCTTTGTTTTCTCCCATACCATTCTGTGCTTCAAATCACTTTCGAAGATCTCCTCCTCCAAGATCCCATCCTCAATGTTTTCCTCCTCTTCAATTGTTTCAGCAAGTGGCACTCCTTCTGGACTTCTGTTGATGTCACCGAGGGATGGTTTTAAAGCGTCTTGCTTGCTTTTAATAGATGATTCATCTCTTGGACTAGGGAAAACATGGGAATCAGGCACAGATGTACTCTTCAGCTCTTTAGTATGTGATTCAATCCCACCATCCACGAGCTGTTCTTCAAACTGTTCAGTTTTGTTTGGTTTTCCCTTTGAACCAGGATCACCTGCAACTCTAGGTTCCTTTATAAGCAGCTCATTGGAGAGATCCTCAAGCTGGGGTGTTGCTGCTGCTTCTTTTTTACTTATTAGCATTACCTCTTCCTGCTTCTCCTTTGTTTCTACAGATTCAGACCTATCCACATTTATATTGTCACCTGACCTCCTGCTCTCACTGAAGGCATCCTCAAGAATTAATGCATCTGAATCATATTTTTTCTCATCATCTCTTTGGTTATTTAGCTCTGTAGCATCATTTGGTGACTCAATGCCATTGTTTTCATCAGCTTCTGAATCCTCTAGGGATACAATTTCTTCTTCTGCCATAAACGACAGCAAAGGGATTTCTTCAGACTGCTCTGCAAAGTCTTGTTCCTCCTCTGTATAAGGAGCATCAATGCTCAAATCTTCATTAAAATCATCTTCCAGTGATGTAACAAGGCTAGTCACCTCATCATCAGATACAACAGCATCAGCAGTGGAGCCAAATTTTGTTTTCAAGTTCACAGACAGCTCTCTGTTTAAAAGCGTATAGGCATTGACTTCTTCACTCTCTTTGTCAAGTTGACTGATTTCACCCTGAAGAATACTAGTGTTTTTGGTATTTTCACTTTCTAGCCCTTTTAGTTTCTCATGTAGCATTCCTTTCAAGTGCTCATGTGCAATTTGAGCTCCCTGAGAGTTTTCTTCATGACTGTTTACACTGGGGTCTCCCCCAGTATTTTCAATTCCTTCTGTAAGAGGACTGTCTATTTCCTCTGTCATAGCAAGGGTTTCCTCATCTTCCTCTGTGCTTAGCTCAAGATTGTCTGCCTCCAAAGCATCACGGGACTTCATTGTATCAACCTCTTCCATCTCTTCATCTGTTTTGATTCCTTCAACTGGTTTTGTCCCTGGATCGCTCAATTCTGTTTCCCTTTCGTTTGCTATGGTCTCTCCTGATGACTTCAAAAGTTCATCCACATTATAATTATCAAAATCATCCCTTCCGCCATCAAAACAAACAAAATCTGTTTCCTGAAAAGGAAAAAAAAAAGTGTCAGTCACAAAACTGATTCTTTTCTTTATTACAGTGATGACACCCAATCCATTTGGTTGGTTAGAAATACATCAGCAAAGGAAATGTTATTAATTTTGCGTGCCACATTAACTCCTTGAGTCCTTAACTAAAACTCTCGTTGAAATCAGTGGATATTTTGCCCAAGAACCCATCAAAGCTAAGTAAAAAGCTCATGGCTTAACCTGTTCTAAGACCTCCTAGTGAGGAGCAAATTGGAAGTTGGCAATGGAGTTGATAGTACTATAATTTGTCACATGTATCTTTGAAATAAGAACAATTCCATCACTAAATGACAACGAGGAGTTCTTAATTGTATAGAGGAAAAGCAAATTCACTAAGCCTGTTTGTCCCAGTCTTCATTAGCTGGTCCCTCCTCAAACAAACTCCTCCAAGCAAGGCTGCCCATTACACAATTTCTGAAAAATAAGAGTGGTGCAAGCCACAGAATTCAATTTCATAATGGTCTGAACCTGTCTCCACAAATAGGCCTTACTCACACAATTCTGGAGTTACTAGCTATTAGTGCATGAAAACTATTTGTGTGAGGAAGCGTTGAGGGATCAGCTCTAGAATCAAAGTGCTAATAGTGTAGCATGTTTTGCTTGTGTCTGTAGTACTTTTGATACTGATTGATTTCTGATAGTACTAGGCTTTTGAAGTTCAAGACAAAATTCTGAATATATACCAAATAGTCTAGTGAGCTCTATAAATGTTGTTAGCTGGCTTGCGCATAATTAGAGGTATTCAAACAGGTTTTGTTAGAAGAAAAACATAACATTCAAGAAAAGAAAAATCAGTTTTACATACCCATCCACATACATATCCGCACAAACATTCCACCTACCCCTAACATGTATGTGCACATGCACACCTATATAGCTGCTGACTTACAGAAAAATAACTAAGGTTTACTGATACTCCTATTCTCCTTAGCGATTTTACTGAATGATGAGGTAGGAAGTAGTAAAAAGCTTAATTAAAAAATAACAGCCAAAACTTACATCTGTTGGTAATTCTAGCTCCTCATTGGTATAATTATGATTTATTTCAAGTAAATCCTTTGGAAAATATCCAAAATCACTTCCGACCTGCCGGAAAACAAAAGCAAGCAAACAAAAGGGAGTTCAAGAAGCTTCTGAAATCATGAAATTATGAACTAAGTACATGTTAGAATCCTAATTACGGACACTAGTCACAAATACGTCAAACTCAAGCATTTCTAGATGAAGTTTAACCCAATGAGTAGAAGAAAATAATTAGCAATACCTGGCTTGCACAAGACTTTTCATGCAAGTTTTATACATACAACTGTTTCACAACAGCTTGGTGAAGTTGGGAAGTTTTATTACTCCTGCTTTAAAGATTGACTTATATAACAAATTGTTAGGAAAGTTGAGAATGAAACCCAAGCATTCTGGCTCACGTGTGCTTCATCTGCTAATCCATGCTCTCCCTCACACCCTATTTGTCTCAAATATTTTTTTAATATTTGAGCAGAAGAGAATCTTTAATAAGACTTACCTCCTTGTAAAATATTATTGTACAGTAATAGTATTGTAGCCTGTAAATATACTCATTTTGTAGTTTAAGAAAAAGGTAATTCTTAGAGCAGATTTTAGGAAAATATATAGTTGTACTCAAGGTAATGTAATATTCCGAGACCTGTGTGCAAAACACACCCCCTCTGCAAACACATTATTGATCTTGAGTGACTAATGTGAGCAAGTTAGTTGCAGGTGGCTATTTAAAAGCAAGGCAACAGCTGAGGCAAGTCAAACAGTGGAAGACAAGAACATCTCTTATCACTCACTGGATAAGATCTACAGAGTAATACTCTCACTTGAGAGTTCTGACAACTGCTGTCAAGAAGCCAATATTAATAGCATGCTATCACTGTGCCGATTAGATAATCCAGACAAATAGAGCCTGGCGGACACACCCAGAGGGGTAGATCGTTCCTAGAGGAACGAAATATCCAGGAGAAGAAAGTATTGCTCATTTCCTAAATGTTTTGTTATAGGAGGAAGACAGCTGCCAATTTTCTTGAAGAGTTTATTTGTGAAGAGCACTGACTTAAAGAGTAAGTTAAAAAGAAAAACAGTTATGTCAAAGCAATTAGGGAAGCCAGGTTTTGTTAGGCTCATATAACTGAAACCAGTTAATCTTGGCTGAAGTTTTCTGGGTTTACAATGGCTTAAAGACAAAAAATCTTATCCAGTGGATAAGATGCACTACTACTTTTTTTTGGTTTTGCATGCAGAGTAAGTACTGATATGTTGTGGAATTTCCCTTGTAAAGTATTTTGTATTCAAATCCTATATTACATCGTTAAGATTTATGAAGTTAGTTATAGGGAAACAAACAAACAAAAACCCACACTATTTTTTCCCCCCCCCCCACCACACACACACATTTTACAAATACACAGCAGATAGTGCACTAATTACTCTCTTATGGAAAAGAGATCCTGTATGGAGTTGTGATAGTACAAACCAATCTTGGAAATGGAAATTAAACTCGACAAGCCAAATCAAAAGCTTGTTACTATGTTACATAGCACAGTTTTATTCTAAATTGTCGTGTTTCTCTCCACAAACTCTTATTCCAGTTTTAAATGATTTCTACAAAAACAAAAGCAAAAGCTATCAAGTAGCCTCCTTACAGTCTAATCTCCATGACTACCATTATAATTAGGCATTACAATTTGGAACTGATGTAGTATAATCCAATCTGCTGACTGCAGAAGTCCTCTGTGGTGACCCAGTTTGCAACTTACATGGTTTATGACCTATGCAAGCACTGTGTGCCCAAAATTGTGTCTGTTCCTCTCTCTACAATTCCCATCTTGCAAGGGAAAAAAATGTCAGCTTCGTACCATTACGCAGGGAAAGGAAACATGCTTAATTCTGTATGTATATGACAGAGGAGAGGCAATACGAATGCCAAGTAAACAAGGGAGAAAAAGGTACATCCCTCAGACCATTCAGGAGACAGCTTCACTCTCTTGCCAGCCACAATGCCCAGGGTGGAAAAAACCATGTGGGTGGGTGTGCAGCATCTGTCCCCACCTGTAACAGCAGCCAGCTGTTGCAGATTCATCAAGCACCACTGACAAAGAAGCCAGTCCTTCACTCTACCTACCTTGGTGACAGAAAACAGGGAGTTTGGCAAATAAAATGTTCAAATGTTTTTAATCTTAAAGCTCACATCCCTAAAGCACAGACGTTACCAGGAGGGCTCCTGTCACAGGTAGCAAAAAGTACCAAAAGATTGGTCCAAGGAGGGAGTTGTTTTGGTCTGCTCTTTTTAAGTGCTGGCATTGTTCAGAAAAATATAGAAACAGGAATAAATCCCCCGATTCTGTTGGTCTTCCAGACATACTGTCTTCTGGTCTTACTTTAAATTAACTTCACCTTTCTTTCCTCTCTGCTATGTTCTGTATGAGATTTGGAAAAAAAAAAAAAAAAAAAAAGAAAAAACAAAAAGCAATCAGCCGCTAAGTCCATTTCTTGAGGCCAGAAATGGTTTCTTCAATCATGCATCAAGAAAAACAAAGTTCAGCTCTTTGCTGTAAGGTAAAATAATAGTCTTGTGCAGCAACAACATGCAGCATCTTTGCTAAAGTGTTTCTTCAAAAAAGAGCAGTTTTTACTCAAAGTTTTGGAGTTTCGGACCCTGCTGAAGGTGAGGGGAGTCTGCAGAATTGTATAAGAAATTCTGTATCACAAAACTTGATGATGTAAACAGTGTGAGGTGGATGCTCAAAAAAGAGGCTAATTTTAGAGTAGGCCATGGAGCACTAGACAATGGAAGCACCAAATATGCTCCCTCTCTTTGGCTTTGAGAAAAACCCAAGTATTTTTTGGACTTGAAGTATTCATGAGATGTGTAAAATAAGATCACTCAGAATACTGTCCCAGCATTTGGCTTTGCACTATTGATGAGGTTCAGATAGCTCTGCTAAAAACTGCATGCCGTGTAATATAGCGAATAGATATTATAGGTAGGTTCCAGAAATTTTTCACAAGCAAAATACGAGCTCAATGGGAATTCTGCAAGCAATATCGTACAAAGTATACAAGACTGAGTTCATAAAACAAAGATTCTGTTTTGTTAAAACAAAGCATGTTTACTGGCACAGGTCAAAACTGAACAATAACTTGAACAGGGCAGAGTGAACTTGATAAGTAAAGGCAAATAAAGCCCAAATACAACTGCTTTAGATTTTCTAGCCTTGATGAATCCTTTCTTATCAGATCATCTCCTTTTAGGTCAATAGTATTTCTCATGGCTCCTCAAAATCAATTCCATGATTAGAGCCTGCATTTATAATTTGTTTGGAACAAGCCCCAAATTCCAGTAGTTCAAGCTTCTCATACGCACTTTCCCCTAACCTTTGCCCCAACCCAAGGGGAGGAATATCTGCTAGGAATATCCATGAGTTAGTCACAAATTAAACCCTCCATCCACAAGGGGAAATCAAAGCTTAAACATTTTAGTAGAAATTCATGCAATATATTTCAGACTATTAACTCTTCATGAAATATACAATTTAATGACCTTCAGTTTTCAATAAACTGTAGTTGGTTAAGTTGGAGTTATCCCTGGATTTCACAGTTTCCATTATACTCTAAGAAATGCTTTCCCCCAAAGCTTTGGGAAATGGAAAAAAAGCAGTAGAGTCAGATGACACACATGAGCACACATGAAGGCACGTGACAAGATTCCCAAAGGGGCTGCAGCAGAAGGTAACATGCCTTACACTAGAATTTCTTTGAACATAGACCTCAAAAGGTTGCCTGTTTCCAATTTGCAAACAACGGCCTCTTCCCAGCTCCAGGACTCCACATAGCAGGTACAGCTGGTCTGCGTAAATCAAGTTGCCCAGCTGAATCTGGCACGTGAAGTCATACACTTGCAGATAGTGCAGGAGAGAAGGACCACTGCACTATCTGCAAGCGTATGACCGCAGGGTCAGTGGCAGCGTCAGGCATGCCAGTCCCCTATTGGGCATGCAAGGGTAGGCAGGTCTTACCCCTCAGCAGCATTTGCAACCTATTTCTTGCAGTATTAGGATTCGCGCAGAAGCAAGCAGTCAATGAAATTGGTGGTGGTGTGGGAAGGGCAAGGGGACTACAGTCACAGATTGAAAGGAATTAGTCTGTATTAACTATCCTAAAAGAAATATAGGAAACTGAGTAACACAAATAAATAAATAAATTGGTGTTTTAGAATTCTTTCAGACCTGCCAACTTCAGCTATTATTTGCTGACCTCAAAAGTCCTTTTAACTTGGAGACACACACTTACCTGTTAGTACTGCATTACTTCCCTATCAGTGAATACAGTTAAACTGAGTATTAACTCAGCAATTACTGAAAACCCGCAGGTCTGATCTTGCGCCTTGTTAGCAGAAGATGTGGAGTAGTAACATGGGGCCAATTTTGCATCTGAAGAACTGTCAGCCATGAAAACCTGTACCATCTAATTATCTGGATTATTTATGGTACAGTACATGTCAGAAGGGAATTACCAGCATGATACAATTATAAACTCTTTTCTTTTAACCACCTGCTGCAATTTTCTGGTGTCTTCTGTGTCGTTTCAATTGGATTCGACTCCTGCTGAGAGCCTGGCTGTCCACACCCAACCTGAACAGGTTAGAGAAAGTGATACATCCTGCTTTTCACTAAACCACTAGTTCCACAATAAACACACAGGCGTGGCTTTCAGCAGTCTAGACCATTGTCAAAGGCAGCATCTCTGGCAGCAGAGCAGAGCAAGAAAGGAGGCTGAAGTAAACAATTCTGATGCAAAGAATAAGGGAAGGAGAGGGGAGAGGAAAAAAAGCAAGGAGCAGGAGGAACAGGGAAGTGGACTAAGCAGCCTCCAAACTGCCAGAGTTTTTGCAAAAAGCCTAGAAAAATCATTCCTCCTCAGAGATATCTCAGAGGATATTGAGAGGAAATTGAGAAGAATTTTTTGTGGAAAAACCTGCAGGCTCACACCCGGAGAAGCATTTGCTGTAGAGACCCTCCTTTCACGTTAAGCAGTCTGAGAGGGTGAGGACAACAACTGAATATTAGGACGAGAAATTTGTTTAAGATATATACGTTGAACGATCTTTAGATTGTTCACAGGGCACATGGGTCATGGGTAAAGGCAAGCTCAGGCTTAAGTCTCTCTAGATGGGAAGGGAAGCATAGTATCTACTAGATAGGTCCATGGGCCATCAGTTACAGTGTTGCAACGTGGGGGTTTCAACACAAAGGAAGTTTTCTCAAAGAAACAGTATTTATCACATATTAGCATGTCTATTTTCACAGCACTTAATACCTTAAGTTGGATGCAACCACACACTAACCTCAAGCATTGATTATTTATGTTAAAAGATTAAAGTGTTCTTATAAGAGGCAAAAGGATGAAAAAAAATTACCAAAGAAAGTGCCAACAAGATCAAATGGAATAAATGCTTTACGGTACTTACACTTCCAGCCCAAAGCTCAGTTGATTTCCCTATTAGTTTGTAATACACATACACTGCTTCTCCTTTCTTAAAATTGACAAAACGACAGTCTGGACCTTTAAAATCCTGCATGGCCTTCCCTCGGCACATCAACACTGTACAAAGAAAACAAAGAGCAGAGTATTACTTCAAAAAATTGAACGTCATAGTTTT